TACCTGGAGGAGGTACTCCTGGGAGGATCCCATGAGAATCCCTTCATAAAACATTATTTATGTCACCTGTTATTGATGCTGAGAGGCAGCGATCGTGTGTAGTGAAGCATAGGGAGGACTGGTCTTGGGCTCAGGAAGACCTGGTCTCCCCTCTTGCTCTGACCCATGCTGACCAATCGCTTGGACCTCTCAGAGCCCCCCAGACATCTCGACAGCTGTGAGTGTCAGAGTGCTTGCCGATCTGCATTGGTAGATGAAGGTACCTCACCATTAAAATCCTAAGTCTGGTCTGAAAAGAAATATTGTCCCTCGAGGTAGCAGCGGATGGATAGGTTGCTAGGAAGTCCTGGGTTCAAATCCTGCCTCTTCCACTAACTTTGTATACTTGGGCAAGTCCCTTTACCTTTGAATCCTTCAGGCAACTCTCCGGAATTTGACCTTCTAAATCGGGGCCTCCAAGTGGTTGGTTACACACATGTCCCTGATAGGTGTATACTTACTTGTTTACAAATCATTTACCTGTGCCACTGAGCATAGGTGTATGAATACACAAAAATAGACATTTAAAAAGCCTGAGATAAAAATGAAATAAAATTGGCTCAGTGGGGAGTTTTTTGAGTGAGGGGTGCCACGGTCAAATTTGAGCTTGAAGATCAATTTGACAGCTGAGTGGGGGATGGAACTTTTGTGGCCAGGAGACCCAACAGCAGCCCGCCCACTGAAATAGTCCAGATGTGAGAGGGTGAGGGTCTGCTCCAGGGTGGTGGCGGTGTCAGAGGATAGAAGGGGGCAATGACGAAGGTGTGGAGGCAACCCATTGCATATGGGGGGAGAGGGGAGAGTGACCCCTGGGTTGGGAAACCTGCTGACTTCGCTGTGCCTTCCACCGCCAGCTTATAGGAGGGAAAGGGAGGGGAAAGGGCAAGGAGAGGAGATCAATGGTATGAGATCAACATTGAAGATCACATCCCGCCCCTGCCTGCTTATCTGGGGACACTCACTCTGTCCCACCCAAAACTACCTAGAAACTGCTGGGAAGCCCAGAACCCACCTTCCTGGGGGGCCTGTTGTAGCCACCAGGTGACCTCGGACACACAGCGGAGTATTCTGAGGAGGGAGAGGGGGGTGGGGTGGCACCTACACATAATGAGATCATAATTAGGGGCTAGCTGTCCTGAGAGAGAGACGCAGAAGGGAGGGTTAGGGGGCTTGCACAGAAGGAGGCAGTGTGAGGGTTTGCACACGAAAGGGCGGAGTGAGACAGAGTTGGGTGATGAGGCTGGGTGTGGTTGTGTTGGAGATGAGCCCCCATGATGTGGGGGAGAGGGACGGGTCAGATTTCTCATGCTTTCCCTGTCTCTAATTGCTTAATCACACACCCCTTGGGTCAGGTCTGCGGGGGCTCCAGCTCCTACTTAGGAGACCACTGCTTTGTTCTGAGTTAAAGTCATAAGGTTGCCATTTGCACTGGTGGAAGGATTCCCCAAGCTGGTGAAACTCCAGGCCCGAAGTCTACTAATATCGTCATTATTTTTGTTACTGTTCTCATTTATTTGTGTGGTTGCTGTCCCATCTCATTGGAGACATGCTAGCGCAGAGAAATGTGGTCAGAAATGAATTTTCGAGTTATAAATCTCGCCTGGTGCTAACCAGGGGAGAAAAGCCAAGCCAGGCTCTTATGTAATAGTGAAATCCAAAGGTTTAAAACCTGTTCTGTATTTAGAGAAGAAATGGGCCCTCTAGTTGTTCGGCTTGTCAGATACACTTTAGAATGAAGTGCTGGCAAAGGTGATCAGTTATCCAGAAAATCTATTAACTATAAACAGCTCGTCTGGAAAGGGTGGGAGAGAGAACGGACCCAAACTGAAGGAGAAGGGGGCTTAATCCCTCTCAATTTTGGCATGTTCCTGAATCTAGTTTAAGAAAGAGACCAACGTTTAAATTCTCGCACTAATCTGACAATGATAACAATGGTAACATCTGTGTCTTCTGAGGCCTTAGCCTGCTCTGCTAACAATCTTAGACATGTATGGTCATTCTCTGTGTCCAGGTTGTGTTGTATTCACTCTCTTTCCCCATCGCCCTCCCCTCCTCCCCTTCCCCTTCATGGAAGCTGTCTAAGGGTAGGGGTTTTTTGTCTTTGTAACCCCAACAAGCTTAGAGAATGTCTCCTGAATCCCTCATGTTACAGATAAACAAACTGAGGCCCAGAGAGGAAAAAGAACTTGTCCAGGTTTCTGTAGGTAGGAAATGAAACAGCCAAAGTTCCAATTCAGCAATGATTTATGAACCTCCTACAATGTATCAGGCCCTGTGCATATAAAGAAAAATGAAAAACAGCCTCTGCCCTTGGGGAACCAACATACTACTGGATTCATTCCAACACAGGATCTTTGATTAAATCTCCAGTACTCTTCCCACTTCACATTGCCAGTAAAATATAGTAGCTAGGAGGAGCAGTGGATAGAGCACTAGATGGGGAGTCGGGAGACCTGAGTTCCAATTCTACCGCAGACCCTTGCTAGCTGGGTGACCCTTGCTACCTGGGTGATGCAAGCTAAGTCACTTAATTTCTACCTCAATTTCCTCATCAGTCAAATAGAAATAATAATAGTACCTACCTCCCCAGGTCATTGTGAGGATCATATGAAATATTTGTAAAGTTCTCCACAAACCTTTTTCCTCTCAAACATCTCTGTCATAGAAACCAGGATTTTTAATGTCCTTCTGGGATAATAATGTGGTTTTAAAAATAAATTAATGACCCAGGGCATTGACTGGATTTCCCAGAAATTTGATAATGGATTAATTTCCACAGGTAGCACAACCTAGTCCTAAAGTGATTCAGTGATTCTCAGGCAAAAGCTTTTTACCCGGTAGGGTCTAAGTTTGTGACCACCCATCTGAGAGAACTGGTCCAATTCTTTGGCCCACACAGATGATGAAGTAAACTACCCCATCTCCTGAGGGAGAGGTGATGGATTCAAGGTGAAAAATGATGCTTAAGTCTTCTTCTTTTTTTTTTTTGGCTAGGCAATGGGGTTAAGTAACTTGCCCAGGGTCACACAGCTAGTAAGTGTTCTGTGTCTGGGGCTAGATTTGAACTCAGGTCCTCCTGACTCCAGGGCCGGTGCTCTATCCACTGTGCCACCTAGCTGCCCCTAAGGCTTAAGTCTTCAAAATTGGCCTATGTGGGTATTTGTTTTACTTGACTATGCAGAGTAATTAAGAGAGTTTTGATTTTTTTCTATTTAATTGGGTGGGATTCTGCAGGCTGGGGGAGGAGTGTCAATGGGTCTACCAAAAGAAAACATAAAGAATAAGGAAAGAGCATCTTCATTCAAATGCACAGAAATGAATAGAAGGAAGGTTTGAAGGAAACACAGACTAGCAGGCCAGCTTTGAAAGTTACACTTTGGATTTATGATACACCTTTTTTTTTTTTTTTTTGGCGAGGCAATTGGGGTTAAGTGACTTGCCCAGGGTCACACATATGATACACCTTTTTTTAAAAAGCAAGCTCTAAAGAAGAAAAATTCACAGCTTTAACTACAATCCCCCTTTCCTTTTTTTCTGCTCTATTTTATATATGGAAATGCTCATTTTATTGCTGTTTATTCAGGTCCACTCAACCCCTTCCACCCCCTTACCCCCAACTCCCAAGTCTTTTTCATGGGAAGTGCTGCTTGGCCAGATCTCTGCCCTGGTTAAGTTTGGCCCAGTGTCCCTGCCTGACAAGAGCTTTCCAATGTAATTCTGTCATCCAAACATTCCCTGAATGACCAAAAAAAAAAGCCTCTACATGCACCAGGTCAAAGCTGGGAGTTCTAAATGGGTGAAGGCATGCCACGGGGCCACCTGGCCGGCACTCTGCATACAGCCAGCACTGGATTTGCCATTGGTTTGACTGGGTTTGAATCTCAGACCTGCCTTTCATACCTGTGTGACCTTGGGGAAGGCTCTTCACCCATACGGGCCTCGGTGTCCTCTTCTGTAAAACAAAGGGTTTAGACTCTAAGGCCCCTTCCAGCTCTAAATCTATGAAATAAAGTTAAAAGAAATGGAGGGAGGGAGGCTTGAAAGGGAAAAGAAAAGACATCATGAAAGTGCTAGAGGCAGCAGGGGCTATGCTGGAATGAGGAGAGAGACAATTCCCCTCCCCCCCCAGGTAACTGGGAGTGAGGGCTGGAGAATGACGTGTGTGGGGAGATGAGCTTCAGGTTCTTAGAACCAGCTGCTGCCTTCTGCCCAGTCAGCGTGTCTCCACGTGCCCCCTGAATGAAGAACACCAGGAAACAAAGATCAGTCTAGCCTAGAGCCTCTGCACAGGGCTCCAGGAATTTCAGAACAAAAGTCACTCACAGTGCACAAAAGACAACCGCAGGTGCACAGAGCACACACACACACACACACACACACACATACACAAAACCTCCTTGCCTACTGTCGGCTCCCTCGGCCTCTACCTGCTGCTTCCCCCAGGGTTCTGAGATAGGGGTCACCTTCCCTCCTGCGTGCTCATGTCCAAGTTCAAGTGTTCATGGATCGAAGGTTAGAATTCTCCTAGTCCAACCCTGTCATTTTACAGATGTGGAACCTGGGTCAAAAGAGGGGAGGTGACTTGTCCAAGGTCACGCAATGTTATGACAGCAAAGATTTGAATCTAGGTCCCCTGACTCCAAATCCAATGGTCTTTCTTCACAAGTGAAGAATACTTAAGTTGACGTGTATTGGGTCCTGATGAAAATACTTTTCCTGGTAGAGTGGCTAAGCAGGGCTTGGTGTTCAATAGTTTTCACTGGTATCTGACTCTCCGTGACCCCATTGGGGGTTTTCTTGGCAAAGATATTACAGTGGTTTGCCCTTTCCTTCTCCAGCTCATTTTACAGATGAGGAAACTGAGGCAAACAGGGTTAAGTGACTTGCCCAGGGTCACACAGCTAGGAAGTATCTGAGGCTGGATTTGAACTCAGGAAGATAAGTCTTCCTGGCTCCAGGTCCAGTGCTCTGTGCACTATGGCGCCACCTAACGGCCCTCACTGAGCAGGGCACCACCATAGAAATATGCTGTGTGACCGTGAGCAAATTCCTTGACCTCTCTGTGAGCCTCAGTTTCCCCATTTGTAAAAGTGAAGTAATCGTACCTGAGGCAGCCACTTCACGGGGTTGTTTTAGGGATTTCCTGAGACTTCATCTACCGAGCAATTTGCAAGTCCTAGTTGTTATAGAAATGCCGGCTGTCATTATTTACCGGCACCGCCTGTGGGATTCAGGTCATGTCTCCAGACCTCAGGGCCATCAGTTATAATCCAGTTCATAGAGTCACCCCAAGAGCACCCCTCAAATTGGCTCCTGTCAGCCAGGATGACGACCATCTCTTCCTGGTGCTCTCCACCCCAAGTGGAAGTGGGAAGGAGCCTCAGGGCCATCTCCTCCCACTTGGATCCAACTGACCCTCCCCTCATGACAGGACAAGCCTTCCCACCCAGGGTCAGAGCTGGAAGGAGGAAAGAGGCCCAGAAAGAAGGGTGCAGCACCGGCGGGATTCAAACCCAGCTCCTGTCCCACTCAGGCCCCAGCTTCCTCTTGCAGTAATGGTGACCTGACCATCTTCTGGTATTTTTATAGATAATTGGGAAGAAAGGCGCAGCCAGTGACATCCCCATCTTTGCAGATGACGCGAAACTCTCCTGGGCATGGGAACACCAGACCGGGCACATACCGTATGAAGGTAGGACGGTTCTTTGCCCCTTGGGGCATCTTCTCTGTGTCTCTCTTGCCTCTTTCCCGTACAGTGAAAGCTCCACGAGAGCAGCGACTGGGCTTCTTTCTTTTTTGCCTTTAAATCCCCAGCACCCAGCACAGCACCGGCACATAGTAGGTGCTCTAAGTGTTGTGGCGAGCAAGCTGTCAGTCCCATCTGTGGGCTTGGCTGGCCCTCCATGAGAACGGGCAGAGGGACAATGACCAGTGTCCTCGACCAACTCCTCACCTTACGGAGCAGGAAACTGAGGCCTGGAAAGGGGAGGGAACTTGCCTGGGGCCTGAAAATCCCAGCTCTAGGAAGGGCCTTAGGAGTCATCTCATCCAACCTTCCCATTTTATAGAGGAGGAAACTGAGGCCCAGAGCAGCTAAGTGACTGGCCCCAGATCCCACAGGAAGGAGCCATGGAGCAGCAGGTCTCTGGCTCCATATCCCAGGCCCTTGCATGGCCTCATCAGCTTCAGGCCAAGAGGTGGCCTGTGCTGTGATGGGTAGAGGCATCCTGGGACTGGCCAGGGAACTTTCTCGGAGGAGGCCCGTAGCCCGCCAGGCCAGTGAAACGCCAGGTCAGTGAGTACTGAGGGAGCTGCGAGGGAGAACCAGGGTGAGACTAGTTCAGGAAACCAGACGTGACAGTGGCTTAGGGCCAGGGCTTCGATGTTTGTTCTTTCCATCCGCCCGGCCCAGTGTCTCTCAGTCCTCCCCTTGCTGCCCCTTGGCCCCATGGACATGAACCAGCCCTGAGTTTAGTCTGTGTACAAACTAAAGCTGTTGGAGCTCATGGGAGAGGGCTTGGGAGAGAAAGGACCAGTCTCTGCTATTTATTACCCAGGCAACTTTGGGTGCATCGCTTCCCCAAAAGGGGACAGTGGAGAGAGCCCTGGCTTCCAAGTCAGATGACCTGGGTTCAAATCCTGTCCCTGAGGCTTCTCCCCAACCCCCACCCCCACCCCCATGCAGTCACTTCCTGGGCAATCTCATCTATAAAGTGAGAGGGCCGCACTTACTGACCTTTGATCTGTGCTCCTGGGACCACCCAAAGGCTCCTTCTGGCCCCCAGAAAAGGGACAATGGGAATGAGGAGTGAGCACTGAGAATGATACTCTTCCCTGAGGCTGGCTGCCATACTGGGACCCGCCAGGTTTTCCCCCGTGAAGTAACAGCTCTGATGATGACCTTGGCCGCCCTGGGCAGATCTGTCCTGCAGCCCGAGGTGGCCTGCCTCCACTTTGTGCCACTTTTTGGTTGTAATTTGGGGAGAGGGTGGGGTGCCAGGCCTGTGCTTTTTATTGGTGTGGGGATCTCCCGTTGTGCAAACTCCCTCCACTAAGAGTTGCCTGGGGGCTCTCAGATGTTAAATGAGAGTCACACAACCCATGTGGATCAGAGGCAAGACTTGAACCCAGACCTTCATGACTTCAAGGCTAACTCCCCATCCCACCAGACTCCCCCTGTGTCTTGACTATAATTCAACTGTGAAGTCTTTCAGAGGGCCTCTTGAAGCATTTATTTTGCCCGAATTCCTCACTGAGCTCTTGAGATCAGACCCCTGGTCTTTGGGGCTCCCCTTCATCCTCTGGGAACCCCAATTGGCAAGACGATTTTCAGACACCTGTTTACCGTGTGTGTTAAGATGTAGCTGAACTGGGCCGAACTGAACTTTTCTGGAGGTGAGCAGCTGAAGGGCCCTGATTCTAGATCATCAGCTCTGGGGCCAGAGACCCCGGGTCCAAAGCCCACCTCTGATGCTTGCTGCCAGTGTGATTTTGGGCAAGGTGCCTCATCTCGGGGCCCTCAGTTGTAAAACTCTTCATGACCCCACTTGGGGTTATCTTGGTAGAGATACAGGAGTGGTTTCCCATCTCCTTCTCCAGCTCATTTGACAGATGAGGAAACTGAGGCAAGCAGGGTTAAGTGACTTGCCCAGGGTCACACAGCTAGCACGTGTCTGAGGCCAGATTTGGACTCACGGTCTTCCTGACTTCAGGCCTGGTGCTCGTTCCGCTGCAGCGCCACCTAGCGGCCTCTCCCGGCTCTTTCTCTCTTTCTCTCTCTCTCTAGAACCCTCTTTTAAGAGTGTCTCAAACACATTCCCAACAGAGCCTTGTGCACCAAAGGCCCTTGTTCACTATTAGCAGAGACATTGACTAAATACTTATTGATTGTTCCCCACCCTGCCTTTGCTGCCTACTCCCCAGACGCTTCCCCTTCTTAGGCCCCCGGTTCATTCATCTGTAAAGTGAGGGTGGGAGGCCGGATGAGTCCTGAGGTTGCTTCTCCTTCCAGATCTGAAATCTCTTTTCTGCCCGTCTTTCTTCTTACTTTGCAGCTGTCTTGTGCATTCGTTGTACCTTTTCTTTCTGCTTCTCCTGGTAGAAGCTCAGGAAGTGTTTGCAAAATCATCCTTTTCCTCCTTGTTTTAGAACGGTCCTCTTGGAGAACAAAGGGTGAACAGCAGCTGTCCAGGGAGAATCCTTTAGGAAAAAAAGCCAGAGGGCTCTTAGTGGTCCACCCACAACCTGGAGCCAGTGGAACCAGAGCCAGCGGCCCCCCCACCACGAATAATTAATTCAGTGACTTGTATCGATTTCTCTCTGATGCACCAGGAAATGCACATTCTAGGACAAAAGGGAAGGATTGATTCTCCCCAGGCAAAATCTCTGCTCTGCCCAAGTTCACAGTGTTCTCCTACACGCTTTCTGGGCATCTCCTTGATTAAAATATCACCGTAAAGATAATAAAACTCAGGAATACCTCTGTCAGCAGAAAAATGTGATGCAGCACCAATGGGGCACCGAAGGCAAGCTCAGGACTCCCAGTCCTGGAAACAGAAACAGACAGCCACCAAAAACCCCAACCCAGCTCTCGCTGGCCCTTCCGGCACCCCGCCCTCTCCTCCCCAGCACTGGGAACGGGGTGAAGAAGTTGACCTCAGCTGGGGAGATCACAGTGACAAAGGCTCAGGGCCAAGAGGGGCCTGTGGGGCTTCTGCCCAAACAGACCCAGAGAGCTGAAGCAGTTCTCCCACTGCTCGGTTCTCCCACTGCTCGGTTCTCCCACTGCTCGTAGGCGTGCCGGGCAGGATTTGAATCCACGCCTCTTAGGAGCTGCCCTTGGCCTGTGCCCTCACCCTTCCCCCTCCCTCTCTTGTAGGTCTCATTCACTGCCACAGTTTCCACTACCACTTCCCCCCGGGTGCCGGCCTCCACCCCTGTCTTTGGGGCTCCAGTCCCGACCTTCATCCTGGGCTCCGGGCCGGAGTCTCCACTGGTCTGCAGGTCCTGTCCCCCCTCATGTCTCTCTGCACCACGCTCTGAGCATGTCCCAGCCCAAGCTGATTTTCTCCCCCCCCCAGGACCCGCCCCTCTTGACATCAGTATTTCCCCCTTTTGTGGTAGGCCCCGTCCACCCTGTTGACAATCTTGCCCTTACCTTTGACTCCTAACTGTCCCTTCCCTTTCCCAATCCAATTAGTGGATTAGACCTCCCAAGCGTCTCTAGCCTTTGTTTCCTTCCTTCTTTTACCACGGCCTGAACTATGATGGGAGCTTTCTAATTGACCTTCCTGCCTCTCCCCAACTCATCATGCCTCTGTCGCAACCAGGGTGACCTTGGACAAGTCATTGTACTTCAGTTTCCTCTGTAAAATAAGGGGGTTGGGGACAGCTGGGTGGCACAGTGGATAGAGCACTGGCCCCAAAGTCAGGAGGACCTGAGTTCAAATCCGGCCTCAGACCAAACACTTGACACTAGCTGTGTGATCCTGGGCAAGTCACTTAACCCCAATTGCCAAAAAAAAAAGTGGGGGGGCTGGCTGGGATGGCCTGGGAGGTTCCGTCCAGCCCTGGAACTAGAACCCTCTTAGTTTTCCCCATGCGCAGAAATGGTTTTAATCTGCTCAAAAGTCAAAGAAACAGCTCAAGATTTGAATTCAAAAAGACCTGGGTTTGAATCTAGACTCTGCCACTTAATAACCCATGTGACGCAAAGACAGTGCTGTTACTTCCCCTGGACCTCATTTTCTTTTTTTTTTGGTTTGCAACATTCACCTCTATGAGATTTTGAATTCTACATTTTCTCCCCCTCCCTTTCCTCCCACTTCCTCAAGACGGCTGCAATCTGATATAGGCTGTATACGTACAATCCTATCAAACGTATTTCCACATTAGTCGTGTTGTAAAGAGGAATTAGAACCAAAGGGAAAAACCATAAGAAAGAAGAAATAAAACAAAACAGAAAAAAGAAAATAGTTCCCTTGATTCTGCATTCAGACTCCATGGTTCTTTCTCTGGATGTGGAGAGTATTTTCCATCATGAGTCTTTTGGAGTTGTCTTAGATCCTTGCATTGCTGAGAAGAGCTAAGTCTGTCAAAGTTGGTCCTAGCACAGTGTTGCTGTTACTGTGTACAATGTTCTCCTGGCTCTGCTCACTTTACTCTGCATCAGTCCATACAAGTCTTTCCAGGTTTTTCTGAAATCCTCCTGCTCATCATTTCTTACAGCACAATCGTATTCCATTACGTTCGTATACCACAACTTGTTCAGCCATTCCCCAATGAATGGGCATCCCCTCAATCCAATTCTTGGCCATCACAGAAAGAGCTGGATAAACATTTTTGTACCTGTGGTGGACCTCACTGTTTTTTGTTTTTGGTTAGGCAATTGGGGTTAAGTGACTTGCCCAGAGTCACACAGCTAGTGAGTGTTATGTGTCTGAGGCCAGGTTTGAACTCAGGTCCTCCTGACTCCAAAGGCTGGTGCTCTATCCACTGTGCTACCTAGCTGCCCTGACCTCACTTTCTTTATCTGCATCTTGGACATTCTTCCTCCTCCCCTTTGCCCCCTCTTCCCCTCTTTCCCTCTTTCCCTCTTAAAAGCTCAGCTGCAAGGTCATTTCCCTCATGAAGACCTTCCTTGATTCTCCCAGTTGTTAGTACCTCTCCAAGTCTGTAAAATGGGGACAATAATACCTATTATTCCCTACCTCCTACTGTTGCTCTGAAGCTCGATTAAGATCATGTACAGAAAGCACTTTGTAAATTTGAAAACGTTGCACAAATGTCAGCTCTTAATGAATCATTCTGAGCAGTTCCTTTGGCTCCCACTCTCTGTCCTTCTGCTTTTTGGGGCTGGCTGCATGGTCACATTGTGGGGGCGGCTGGCCTGGGCTCCTCACAATGTTCAGCTAAAGCACTGAGTGTCTCTGGCAGGAGCGTGTGTCCTCTTTAGTTTCTGGAAATCGCCGAGCTTTTATTCCCTCAGCTTGCAGCCTATTCGATATAACTGAACTTTAACTAGTCAGAATTTCTTTAAAACCTAGAAATTTGATCTCTAGTACAAAAATGGCAGTGACTTCCCCTTTGTAAAAAGCTCAACTATTGCCTTTTGTTTTTGTACCAAAATTGTTTCTCCTTCAGATAGGAAAAAGAAACAAATAAGCACAGCTCATCTTTTACCCAGGCTTCTGGGGCACCTGCTCTTTATCAACCTGCTATATTTGAGGCTACGTATCTCTGAACTAATCGACTCCCACCAGGTTCAGTTGAGTTCAGTGTTTCTTAAGGGCCACCTTGCTGAACGCCAAACTCTGTCCTTGATGCTGAGGGAGATGCAACGATCCATTGAGACAGGTGTGTCGAAGAGATGGAGAAACTCCAAGTGACATTGATGGCCTAGTCCTCAGGGCTCAGTGAGCAAGCAGTGGAAGCCAGGAAGGCAAGGAACAGGGACGCTTTGGTCCTGCAGTTTATCGGTCCTTCTTTCCTCTAGGAAGAACCACTTGGATTTGACATTTGAGGGTCCCTAAAGAATAGACCCTAGCGATCATTGAGTTTCACCTATTCCTTTTTCAGCTTCATTCATTCATTTATTCAGTCATCCATCCCCACAAACATTTTTATATAGACTGTTTTATTTTTGTTTTTGTCTTCTCTGTACCTGGGATGAAGGAGGTGCTTAATAAGTGTTTGATTAGCCACTGACAGCATACTGCCTCTACCAGCAAAAGAGAGGTATAGCATATGTTGACAAAGACAAGGCTGCAGTAACCTTGTAGTGTTCAGTTGTTATTATTTCTCAGTCGAAATTTTTAAAAAAATTTTGACATCAGATCTAGAGTTCGGAATTATACCCCTAAGTCCAAGAAGTTGGTATATCACTAATTAGTGTCCCAGAAGTGATTGCCAACATGGCAGAAGTTTCTAGTAGGCTTTATCACTCCCTTTATTGCTGTTCCCCGGGTTCATTCAGCACATCCTCTCATCTGTTCCATTCAACAAACATTCATTAAATGCCTGCTGTATGTGATGTACTGTGTTGGGCACACACCAATAAATCACACGTAGTCCTTGCTGTGCAATCTGGTGGAGCTTAAAGGAAATGTATTCGTGTGTGTGTGTGTGTGTGTGTGTGTGTGAGAGAGAGAGAGAGAGAGAGAGAGAAAGAGAGAGACAGACAGACAGACAGATAGACAGACAGAGGCAGAGAGACAGAGAGGCGTAAAGTGCTTGGCACATAGGAGTTTAATAATTGTTTGTTGATTGGTAAGTAGAATCTAAATTTCAAGTGCACAAGAAGGGGATACAAAATGTGTGAAACCAAGTGAGTAACAGATCACAATCATTGGAAAATTATGAAAAACCACAGAAGAGCTGAGCCTTGAAGGATGGGTAGGGGTGAAGGGAGAGCACATTCCAAACAGAAAGAACTACAGAAGTGGAGACAGAGAGGTGGGACTGTGCTGAATGGGTACAAAGAATGACTGGAAGAGTAGCTGAGAGAAGGCTAGAAAAGCCAACAAGAGTCAGATGGTGTAACAGCTTCAAGGTCGGGTCATAGACGTTAGACTTTTTTTTTTTGGTGGGCAGGAGGGAGCTATTCTGAGCAGCGGTAAGACCTGCATGAGGGAGAATGGACCCAGAGAAAGTAAAGTGACTTGTCCATGGCCCCACTTAGTTAATGGCAGAACTGGGACCACAGCGTGTGTCAGTCTGGCCGTGGAGTTAGAGGACAAGGGTTCAAAACCCACCTTGGATCCTAACCACCAATATGACTTCAGTTGAGTCATTTCACCTCCCTGGGCCTCAGTTTCCTCTTCTGTAAAATAAAGGAGTTGAACGAGATGGCCTTTGAAGCCCCTTCCACTCTAGAGCTATGAACCTGTCCTGCCAGGAGGTAGGGAGCAAATCCTGTGTATTATCAGCAGACACTGACATCGTGTGAGTTGTTTTTTGTAGCTGGTTTTCTTTATTAATAAAGGGAGTGTTCAGTTCTGGAGGGTAGAGGGCTATTACCTAGAAAGGAAACAAGACATTAACAGGAAGGGGTTAGGTTTGATCAGGAAGAATTTCTAGAATGTGAAGTCTCTAAACACTCGAAGAAGCCACCAAAGGGGTTTGAGGACTCCAGGGGGAAAGAACAAAGCCAAACCGAAATCTCTGGAGCAAGACCATTTGAGGTCACTTACAGGCAGCTTTTGAGGTTGTGCTGGGTACATTTTGTCCCTTCTCAGATTCAGGGTTTTCATGTGAGAAGTGCCCCCTACAGAAGGGATGAGAATTCTTAGGAGAGTCCGAACCTGCTAGGATGTGACAGGCTCCTGAGTTGTGGCTCACAGGCAGCCGCCAGCCCTAGGAGACTTGAAATGCCCAAGTTCGAGTTGTTCCCATCTTGGTACACTCATGACAGGGCAACTTGGAGGCCAACAGAGGAGCCCTGGAGCGAGCTCACGGCCCCCAGCCAGGGGAACATTGCCTTTTATTGCCCCCAGTAAAGCTTAAGGAAAAAGTCCTTAGCTTCCACCCCCCATCTCCACTCATTGTGGGCACCTGAAAGTCTCACAAGATTTTCAGTTGTGTTCAAGAGCTCTTTTAATGTTGAGTGTTTTTATTTTATTCTACATTTTTTTAAATTTATTACCTTTTTGGTGACGTATATGCTGTTTATTAACCAGAATATTGGACTACCAAGGACTTCCTCTTGACCAGTGCCTTGGTCAGCCCCTGTCTGGTATGTTGTATTCATTTCTGGACTCCATACCTTAGGAAGAGCATCAGATAACTAGGGAGCGTCTGGAGGAGGGTGACCAGGAGGGAACGTTGTGGCAGGTGTGGGTGGGGGAACTGGGCATGTTTAACTTGGAGGAAGGAGGGCTCACACCTGTCTTCATGGATTGGACTTACATGGAAAAAGTTCAAAGGAGCACAGATCTTTAGCCGGAAGGGGCCTCGGGGACCATCTGGCCCAATCCTCTAAATTCACAGTTAAAGAAACTGAGGCAGACAGAGGTGAAGTGACTTGCCCATGCT